CCAGGCTTCTCTCTCCTGCCCCGCCCTCCTCTCTTCTCCTGTTTCTCTTTCTAGCTCCTTTCTCCGAGGTCAGGATACCTATGGAGGGAGTTGGGGGCAACTGGGGATGAGAGGATCCAAATCAGGAAACAATGAGTCCCTCAACTAACTACTCAGGGGTGGAACCGACAGGGGTTTGGCTTCCTTGGCAATAAGAGGCTGAAGATGCCTGCAGATGGACAGCCCAGCCCTGCCAGGCCACTGGAAGGCTGGCTACCCTGTGACCCCTCACGACTTCCTTCCCTATCCCAGGCCTCTCAGCCAGCACCCTGCTTTCTCCCTGAAGGACCCTTTCTTCTCCTCCTATTCCCTCTCCTCTCAAACACCTGGGTGGCTTCTTGTGGACAGGTGTCAGGCTGCCTAGAGCCCAGGAAACAGACTTTGCCTCTGCTCCCCACTCCCAAGCCACCTGTTCTCTTGGGACCCTGACTTCACATGGCTTTTCTCTCCTTCCACACAATGGGGTGACTTATGTCACAGAAATGATCTGGTGTTGAGAACAGGCAAATCTATAGAAACAGAAAGTAAAATTAGTGGTTGCCATGGGCTGGGAGGAGGGGAGACTGAGTGACTGCCAACGGGTTGTTGGTGGTGTGTTGTTTTTTTTGTTTGTTCTGAAATTAGATAGTGGTGAGCATCCAGCGACTCTGAGAATACAGTAAACATTACAGAATGGGCCACTTGCAATGGGTGCAACATACATATGTGAATTTTATCAAATATTCTTGAAAATAATCTCAATAAAACTATTAACTACAACAAATGTTCTGGTTTTGGAAGAAAAGTCAGGAGCCCCTTGTAGCCACACCACCAGGAATAAATGCCACACTAGTAGTGTTACAGAAGACCAGAGAAAAACCAAGCAATGCTTAGAGAAATGGAGTTACACTGCTTTATTATGCCTGTGGTCTCAGTGGAGTCACCTCCAAAAAAAAAAAATCTGAGCCAAAAACATGGAGGAAGCTTTACCTTTTTATATCTTTCCACCCCTTTGTCTCCCAAATAAGAGTTTTTCCGGACCTTCTGCAGACTTTACCAAGAGCTCTATGTAAGTTATTTTTGCAGGCAGCTTGTAATCTTGAGCGCAGCACAACTTAGTAGATAACTAACAGGCACCTGGTATGGGGGTGGGTAGAAACAGCAGCAGAGCGGCTTGCAAGGTCAGACAGTTGAATTCATAGAACAAGACTATTTATGCATAGTGGAAAATTCAAACAGCAGTTTTTACAAATAGAAGTTAATATATTATAGAGAGCATTAGCCTTTAGCCTTCTCAGTAGGCATCTCTTCTTTCCCTGGGTCCTATGGCACAGCTGAAATAGGGATGCGGGTGTGGGAGGGAAGATGGGGTGCAGGTAGGGGAAAGGGAGCTCTGCAGAGCACTCACAACTGATCGCTTTTAACTTTTTTAAAAAAATGTTTTTATTGATTTTAGAGAGAGAGGGAGAGAGAGAAAGAAATAGAAACATCAGTGAGAGAGAAACATCAACATCAACATGAGAGAGAAACATGAATTGGCTGCCTCCTGCATGCCCCCTGCCAGGGATCGAACCCGCAACCCGGGCATGTGCCCTGACAGGGAATCAAACCGATGACCTCTTGGTGCATGGGTCGATGCTTAACCACTGACCCACACAGCCCCGGCTGCTTTTAACTTTTAGTTTCCGGCATTATTAGCTGTAGACCACTCTGGGTATTTATAACAGCCTGCACCCCTCTTTCATTTCTCCTGCTCCACCGGAGCCCGTGGTGGGGCAGCTCCTCGCCCCTGCCCTAGCTGAGTCGAAGCTGGCTGGTTGGGGCTTGGCGTGGGGCGGGCCTTGATGAAGGCGCTGGACTAGGGTCAGAGCTTTCTGGGTGGGGCTTACACCTCAGGGCGGAGCCTACAGCCCTGCCCTGTCCCATCCCCGGTGCTGCAGCCCCGGGTGGGTGAGGCTGGGCCCCGCCGCGGCTCCCGCGTGGCTGCGGGCGTGGGGACGCGGCGTGGCGAGCCCGGGCCAGCCTCCGGCCCACTGCCCCTGCCTTCCCCGATCGTGGGCAGCGGCCAAGACGTGTAGTTTTCCAGACTTAGCCCAGGTCCCGGGCGAGCGAGTCCCTCTTCCCGCCCACTCTGTTTGTTCCAGCGCAGCCTTCACAGGAGGGCGGAGAAGCTGAGGACCCAGAACGCCTATCAGACAGGGATTTGCGCGTTCTTGGACTTGGCTCAGGACCCAGGTGTCTGGGCAGGAGACAAGATGTTCGGAAGCCCTGAATGAAAACCCCCAGTTCTAAGGACCACAGCTGCTGAATGTGAGGAGGACCACACATTCAGGTCAAGGCTCAACCGGGGGAGGAGAGGCCTCTTCCGTTGTACAGCTGCCTCCAGGGGACCTTCTTCCTCATCATGTGTGAAATGAGTGCAGCTGTGGAGACAAAAGCATCCTCCTGCTTCCTGGTCACCAGTTCTGACAATGGAAGCCGATGGGGGTGGTTTCCAGCCTGGAGCTGAGCCAAACTCAGGGACTGATTACACCCCAGGGCCTGCAGGGTAGGCTGCAGTACAAGGGTGGTGGGCAGGGCCCCCTGTGAAAAGCACCCTAGTGGGTATACACAGGTGGCCCTACTGTAGAGCTGGGTGGGCAGTGGGTCTGTGAGGAGAAACACCAACTGCTCCCTTTGGAGTGAACTCCTCTTCAGGCTGAGTAGTTCTTATTTCTCTGCTTGAGGATCTTCCCAGGTGCCCAACATTGGCCCACTTTATAGAGGAGGTGATGGAGGGTCTAGGAGGCCAGTCATTTGCCTCTTTTTGGCCAGGAAAATTAACTTTTCTTAAATACTTTGAAGGAACAGGGGACAATCCCCTCCCTAATGGCAGAGAGCCATTGAGCAGAGGCCTAGGGGTCATCAGGAAAGATGCTGGAGAAGTACCACCAGCTGAAGTGGGGGTCCTTCTGCAGTTGCTTTTGCATATCAAATCCCCCTCATCCCCAGGTGCTGCCTACAGTTTTCTGAACCTCTGGTGCCTCAAGGTCCCAGCAGTTCAGGTGGCCTCGGAGAGAAGCAGCTAGGGACCGTTCTCTCTCCTCCTCCCCAGGTCATGCAGCTCTTGGGGAGACGGGTGTCCTGTCTGCTGGGCCTGGACTCCTGTTATGCCGAGTTGCCTCTTGCTCTGGTCCAGAGCCACAATGGTTGCCAAGCAACTAGAGGTAGGTTGGGAGGAGGGAGGGGAAGATGTCTTGCCAGCCTGACCTGACTTTCAGGGACTTGGTTTACAGATTGTGTCTGTGTGTTCCCAATATGGTTGGCCCTGGTCCCTTCTGCAAGTCCGGCTTTGAGGGGTTTCCATCCCCAGGCTAACCAGCTACCTTTGTGTTCCAGAGGGCAGCCACACTGATGGCCAGGGTGAGGGAACTCAGGCTACTGGCACTGGTCTCAGTCTTGGCCTCAGTTCTTATGCTTCTCCTGCTCTTACTGCATTTGTGGAGTCCAGGTGAGGCTGGGGCTGGGGCAGGGGTGGCTTCGGAAGGGAGAGTGGTGGGCCCTGAGGAGAGGATCTTATCCCATCCCAAGAACCTCTAGAAGCTGCTAAGCTCTATTCACCCCTTCCACACAATTTTTCTGGGTACCTCTTACATACCAGCCCTGGGGCGACAGCAGTAAGGAAGCATCTATGTCCCTAACATGAAAGATGACAAGGATGTCACTGATCCTCACTGGACACCTATGTTGGGGCCACTTGCTATCTCATTCATTCTTCACTTAGCAAGCAGCACTTTCTATATGCCAGGCACTGAGCTGGGTGCTGGGTCAAGCAGTGAAAAAGACAGACGGTCCCAGTGTAGAGCAGACAAGACAAGCAGCAAAACAACAAAGCAACAAACTAGGACTGAAGGGTCCTGGGTTCGATTCCAGCCAAGGGCACATGCCCAAGTTGTGGGCTTGATCACCAGTAGGGGGTGTGCAGGAGGCAGCCGATCAATAATTCTCTCTCATCATTGTTGTTTCTATCTCTCTCCCTCTCCCTTCCTCCCTGAAATCAATAAAAATATATTTTAAAAAAACAAAAATGAAGCAAGATACTGTGAGGTTAGAATCACTGCCTCTAATCCTGAGTAATAGGGAGATGCTAGGGATGAACTTCCCTCCCCTCCCCTCCCCCTCCTCCCCTCCCCTTCCCTTCCCTTCTCAGGCGTAATTGGAAGCTGGCTGCAGATCGAGAGGCGTAATTGGAAGCTGGCTGCAGATCAGCTTTTATTTTGTGTAATTGGCGGGGAGCTGAGGAAAGGGAGAAGAAAAACAGACCCACCTTAGACCTGCTAAGAGTGGGGAAACTATAGACATTCAAAGAGAAACACCCTAGGGCCAAGGGCAGGATCCTGGATCTGGAGCCCAAAAAGCCGTGGCCATTGGGGCATG